CGCACATTTGTGGTATTAAGAAAAAAAATGCACGCACTCAAATTTGTTGTGCGATTTTAAATTTCACATCGCACAAAGCGATGATTGTGCACACAGATTCGTGCACACACATTTGTGCTGTGTGACTGATTTTTAAAAATGTGCACAATCAGATGTGCGAGAAAATTTTATGCTCGCACCGCACTGTGCGACAAAAAATTCTCTTTGCACACGAGTGTGCTGCTCATATTACGTTTGCACAAATGTGCACAAATGTGCGACTGCACAAACGTGCACAAATGTGCACAAATGTGCGACTGCACAAACGTGCACAAATGTGCGGTTGCACAAACGTGCACAAATGTGCGATTTTGCGCTTGCACCCAAGGGTGGAAAAAATTACAGGAACTTCACAATTTTGTTTGAAATAGAAAATATTATTTTGTTACAAATTTTGAAAAAATTGATATTTGCGTTCGTTGGGATCGTAATTTATGTTAAAAATTGCATAAATTAACAAATATTTAAAATAATTATTTTTGTTAATTAATGTAAACTAAAAATTATAACTGTCTTAACCTTATTTGTATTTTAACTTAAAATATTAGTTTTTTGTATATTACTTTGTACATTTTTAAATGCAAATATAGTAAGTGAACTTAAAGTATTTGTTTGGAAAGTTTTGCACCAGTTTAAAAAAAATAAAAACATATTTTAGGAAGATTTTTTTATGCCCAAAAAATATGAAAGATTAGGAAAATATTTTTTTTGAACAGGTAGCAGGTATTGGTATTGGTGTATTTGTTTAATAAATTTTGCAACAGTTTAAAAAAGATAATACGGGAGGGCCACAAATAGGTATTTTTCTTCTACAGAAATATGTATTCACTTAGGTAGAGTATCTAACATTCATTAAAAAACGCGAAAGATTAAGAAAATATTTTCTTGAACAGGTAGCAGGATTTTAGCGCCCTTTCTACTGTGCTAAGTAAGCAGAGATATAATTTAAGTGAAAAAAATATTTCAGCAATGTTATTAATAAGATTAAATGAAAATTTATTTCAAAAAATATGTAATAAAAATTATATATTTTTTAATAAGAAATTAAAATATTAAATTATTAAATTATTTCAATAACTTTGTAAAATTTAAACTGTAATTAAAGATAAAAAATTAAGTGAAATCTAATAACAAAATTAATTTATGTTGTTGTAAAAAATATTTAATTTGCTTTTTATAACCTTACTAACGAATCTTAGTGTACAACTTACTATTAAATAAAATTTTATGAAGTAGTCCAAAATTGATATATTTAATTTTTTCAAAGTACGATCCGTAGAACCGATCCTCTTTACTTATAACATTTCGAAACAAATACTCTTTCTCTATTAAATTCATGTACCTATTGAATATAACAAAGTTTTCAAGTACATTGTGAAATTAACTTTATTCCCATATTTTAAATTAATAAACCTTAAAAAAATAAGTAATATAAGCAATAAATGTAAATCTAATAATAAATTCAAAATTAAAATATAAATACAAAATTATTTCTTCAATAAAATATTTCGCATTAAGACCAAAATTAATACAAATCAGTTTTCCGTACTATTTTGCTGCGATATTTGTCATAATATTGTGCGCTTTTAAATCATAATTTTACACAAACGTGCAGTAGACATTTCGTCTCCGCACATTTGGGTGCATTTTTATTTTCGAGCCTGCACACAAAATGTGCTTCTCGTATTCTTTTCTGCACACGTTGTGTGCGAGGGCAAGTTGGCTGCCGCACACACAATGTGCTGTGCGAAATAACTTCGGCACAAACACCGAATGCGTGTGCGAGTTTTATTTCACTCCACCACACTCGTGTGAAATGTGCGTTTCGTTTGTGCACACAAGATGTGCACTTAAGATGTGCACAAAAATTTTCGCACACCACATTTGTGGTGTGAAATTTTAGAATCGCACAACATTTGTGCGTGGTGTTTTGCATTTTTGTGCACAGCACAGTGTTTTTCTGAACCCTGGTATGTATTCAAAAGTGAGTGGTTACAGTTGCTGAGAACTATTCGCGCGACATATTGTTTCATTCGTGCGAACATTCGATTAAACAAAAAATTTTGTTTGAAATTCATGTGTTCTTTCAAAATGGAAGGTATAAATAGTGAACTTGACAGGTGTATGTTGTTTCCACATATTTTAAGGTTTATAAATGGAAATAAATTTGAAAACATATACTATTGTTAGAAAATGAATTGCGATTTGCTAATTTCTTTATTTGAGCTATAGACAAAGTCTTCATTTTTATAACTTGAAGTATAAAAATCATACACCCAAGTTCATCGCTTGTCCGCTAAATATATTTCATCTTCACTTTGCAATTTCTTTTCAAAACAAACAAAATAGAACTGTCAATTCGCAAGCAACACGCACGAACACGCAAGACAAAATTCGCATGCAATGTAACAGTGAATTGTTGATGGTTTTGAATCGAGAAGGTGAAATGAATCGAGGAGTAGGTGAAATTAGTGCGAAAACGATTAATATTTGCACGAATTACTTGCTCACTAGATTTTGTTGACCGTAAAATGGTTTAAGTGTTCTATGAAATTTGAGAATAGATTTATTTTTTTCATATCAAAGTAATGTATTTATTTGGTCGTCGCATAGTATGTCCTATTCAATTCCATATTCGCATTTTTATTTCGGTTACAGCAGCTTTCTGATTTGTTGAAGTAAAACTTCTGCATTTGATATGTGGTTAGGCCACCATATTTGTAGAATTTTCCGCAGGCATTTATTTAAATGTAAGCACGAGACTAAAATCTATTTCTGATGTTCGCATCATATTAATTATCCATTTAATTATCCATACAATCTACAATTATAACTTATATTGCCTCATAATAGTCTCAGTCGTATACCGAAATTATTTGTTTAGATATACAAATAAAAAATTATAGTTTTTATACCGTTATTTAAAAAAAAAAACAAGTATTAATTTTATTTCATTAGTAATAAATACAAGAATTATTTCCAAGACCACTGTTGGTGGGTATTTGGCAATAATCGAAACAGCTGTATGGTCAGCCAAAAATTCAATTAATTAAAAATGATAAAATAATATAAAATAAATTTTTGTTGTTGTAGTTCACTACTGTTCGAGAAACCTCTTTATAAGTAATAAATAAAATTTGTATATAAATTTTCCATGCCCTTAAGCAAAAAAAGAAAATCTATTTGTTGTCGATTTATCTTTGCTTGAATTTTTTTCAGATTCCTGAATGTTTTAAGGAATAAAACGATTTAAATTTCTTTTACTCAAGTGAATTTAAGGCAATTAAAGTTTTAAGTAACATATTTAAGTTGTTACATTTATTCTCCTGCAGCGTTAGAGAAATTTCTCCAACTTTAAGTTTTATTTAAAAAAAAAAAAAAGACTTTTTCTAGGACAAAAAGTTGTTACAGTTTAAGTATTGCGTGGGTAAAATGTCAATATATCTTATTACTGAAAATGAAAAAAAATTACTTAATACAAGAAAAGGACAATTTTCTGGCACACATAGCGTATACGCAACACTTCATAACAGCAAAACTTACAATACAGACAAATGACTAAAATGTTTACCATTATAAAAAAAAAAAAAATATATATATATATGTATATATATATATATATATATATGAAAGAAAAAAGTTGTTGTGTCTTTAAGAAATTACTTAGAAAATTTTATTTCCTTCACATTCACACATTTATTGTGTATGTGTGTTTAATTGTATAAAAAGAAACTTGTTTAAATTTTCTACAAATGTTCTTGTTTTATATTTATTTCTAACTAAACAATAACACTTTGCATCTGCCCTCTGGTGTCTCTTCTGGAGAACAACATGAAAAGTAAAACAACTTACAACGTCGCGCAAAAGGCAAAATGTTCTGAGTAAAGAACAAAAACAAAAAAAGATACGAGAATACATCGAGAATACGTGCACAGAAAAAAAGTTATAAGGATATATTTTTTTTACGTGT